ATAAAGCTTAAGTATTTTATCATTACCTGCTAGATTGTTGTGTCAATGTTCAATATGTTGGTGATCAAATGAATAATTAAGTAAGTAATTAATTAGTTTTGACCATACTCACAATTATTGAGCCTTAATCTAATAATGCAAAATGCATCTGAGGGCACGGCAGTGCCCCGGCCAAGTCAAGCAAAAACAGAAGCAAGGCCGTACCATCCTTTTCTCGAATCAGTTCAGGCCATTTTCAACCCTCTATAACTTCGTTGGCGATAAAACTAGAAGCCTGAATTTTCAGTAACCAAGTAGGCATTGTATAAACTCGGTACACATATTTCAAATTTGATTGAATTTGATAAATAATTACTGAAATATGAAATGTTAACAAAAGGGTCTACATTATATTTCAGCGTCCAGTGTTTCGTCTTTGAGTGAGTATAACATTATAACTTGTCAAACAAAAATCATATCATATTTCTAATTATTTGTAGTCTTAATACCTATGTCAAACTAGCTGGAAAAACTATTAAAACACTATAACTCTATCACTAACTAAAGGTATCTAATAAAACTAAGAATCATCTATACTCGTTTGAATATCGATCGAAATACACGCGAATTTAATTGTATGTTACAAAGAAATGAAAAAATGAAATTTTCACGAACTTCGAATAGACATCGATGTACTAAAAACCAATCTCCTAATGGATTCTCCTTTACTTTCGACGAGAAATTAAAAAATAAAAAAAGTTTGGAAAAAGCAATAATAAAAAAGAGGAAAATGGAAAACGTGCAAACATTCTTGCAACGGGGTAGTGCATTCGGGAACCATGCACATTTACAGATTATAAACTAACAGAAACTTATATTCTGGCGGAAAAGAATAGAAATTGATCAATGGTAACTCTCGATAAATCTTAATTAACAATATAAGATATCAATTTCTACTCTCATCTACCAGAATACACCAGAAAAATATAAAACTTTAAGGAAGAGGTATCAATGTTATACTCGTAAATCCATTTTCTCAATAGTCAAGCAGTTTTAGTTTTTTCTGGTAAGTAAATAGACATTAAGATTAATAAAATGTACGACTTTGTCTTGTGAAATATTAAAATCTTTTTTTTGGTTTAAAAGGAATGACAACAGATATTTCGTTCTTGTGACATACAGCCTAATTTTCTGAAATTTATAATGTCACGCTAATATTTCACAATACAAAGCATGAAACTAATTATTTAATCGGATATAAGGGTTAAATATCAACATTAACAGTTAGTGAAAACATTCAAACACCGAGATAATGGCAAGAAAAAGTGGTAGAAAGAGAAACAAACACACGAGGGGGATAGAAAACATCGAATATATCTCTTAAAACACCGAGTGCGCACACGTCGCCGGCCGGGTATTTTTGGACATTTTTTTTCTGTAACTTGTTTTTACAGACTCGTTCTTGATTTTAATCAGCAAATGGCTTTTTATAGCAATCTTCGTTGGTGTCTAGTGGAATCCAATCGCTTTTCGTGTTCATGTTGATCGAATTAGCTCTCGAATTCTCAACGCTCTGTTACAGATCCAAATTTATGGATGAATTGTGATTTTTATTTCAGCCGCTAATCTCTATAGGTATTTTTTATGTTTCAGCATTTCCTTTCAGTTTTTTTACACACAGATTATTATAATTCAGTTTTAGTGGTAGAAATATAATAGAAATTCATGTGTCAATTTTATAGTTGTTTTAGATACCTACATTTTTTTCTCTTTATTGACTAGTTTAAATATAGCTTATTATTATTTTTTATTTAGTCGAAATAGAATAAAATTAAAAAAAAATCATGACAATACAAAAAAAACATTGAGACTTATTAAACCCTTTTGGCATAATGTTTGTGTGTCCCTTCGCCTCCCTCGAGCATGTTTACGCGCGCTTCTATTGTCCTGATTACGCAAACGTCGCGAACCGAGCCTACTTCGTATTCTTGCTCATTCCAAGGACTCGTATCTCTTCTCCGGTACGACTGACGGTTATTTCCGTAGTGATACTTAGGGAATGTCGCTTTTATTAACACTTTTGTCCTTAGTGTCCTTTGCTTTTTGTTGAGAAAAAAAGCTAAAATAAAAAAAGCGTTTTCGTTTGAATTTGGAAATCAGTCAGTTATCTTTATTATTTAAAAAATTAACAAACGCGACCCAACGATTTCTAATGTATTTTTTTATAAGGTTTTGATTAATAATGATTATATTATTATTAAAGTATAATAATTCATTTTATGAATAACAATCAAATAGTATTGTCAGTCGATGCAATATCTTGCGCAAAAGTTTAATTAGACAAAGTTCATAAGGAAACTTTGTTTATTAAAATAATAACATTAAATTTGTGTTCCGTATTTACGTAAAACATTTTATTTTATTTTAATCCAATGTAAAGTAAACAACATAACATGGAAATGTTACGTGAATTATTGTCGACAGATGCTGCACATAGAAATAGTTTCTAAAAAAAATGTTTTCTAAGTGTTTTTGAAACCGTAAGCTCGTTTTAGTTTTAGAAATTGCTTTGCTGGAGTCTAATGAAACTGCCCAGTTGTTCAGCTTCGTTGAATATTGCTGCATACAGCCTGCTGACTCAACTACGATTTGGACACAGGAAACGGAAATGTTAACCCTATTCAATTTATACTGTTTTTTTTCTTGGAGATTCAAACATCTTCATTTCGTTATTTTATAAGTAACTTTAAGTTTGGTTTAAATATATTTCCTTTAGATTGTTGATACTATTTTCCAATATCTTTTTGCAGCTACGAAAGCGTTAATATTTGGCCAATCCTAATAATTTTATAAATTGGAGGTTTGTTTGTTTGTGTGTATATTTCAAAAATCAATCACGCCAAAACTACTGAACCGATGTGGATGAAATTTGACACACATTTAGTTTAGACATAGGATACTTTTTATCGTCGAAAATGTTATGTTCCTGAGGGATTTTCAAAAAAACAAAATTGAAACATTAATTATAAGTTTTTAAATTCTTTCTTTTCATTTTAAAGCTTTCGCATCAAAATAAGTATTCTATTGTATGTCATAAATAGCAAATTTTACGCATTGATCGTAACATTGGTAGTTTTTACCCAGTATCCAATAGTATCTTTGTATTTGTAGTGAATAATTGAATGTGCAAAGATCCATTATTAATTTCAATCAGTGGCATTTGGCAACATATTAGCGATATAAATAAACGGGCATTACATTATAAGACTATTATGGGACATAACTAAAACAACTTCAAAATAATGAAATTGTACCTACTTAAGAAAAGAAAATTAAGCATTTGCAAAAAAAACAAGTTGATATATTTTGTAATCCGCCCATCACACTTGTTTACGTGTAATACAAAAATGCGGTTTTTTCCGTTGTACGCAAAACACGCGTGACATAATGTTTTTCTTTTTACTTTATTACAATTTACGACTCGTAAAGCGATGTGAAATACTTTCTAAAGTTCAAAATGCTTCGAAAAGTACTTACAGTTTAAAATAGCAACTATATGCCATTAGTTAAAAGACCCTTTACGAATTGAAAACTCGAAATCGAAAAAGTAAACAAATACTTTTTTAAAAAATATACACTATTTATAAACAAGGTTTTATGCGGTCAAAACCAGTATTGCCAATAAAAAAATATACCCATAAAGTCGGTAAAAAGAAATTCAAAATTCGAACATCTATAGTGCTGCGGGCATGAATGGGCGTTATGCTGTCCAATGGCGTAGTTTCCCTGCAGTTAGCTTTACACATCTTCTCACACTATATCGATTTGCCATTTAGTTTGCAAATAAAAAATATAGTTATAACCAATTTGATTGTAAGAAGTAGCTATATTGTCTTTGCAAATGTTCACATTGAATGTAGAGACGAAAAAAATAAAGCGTTCCGATTTTGATTTTCTTGTTGTAGTAAAAGGATTTGATTAATTTTTAATTTGATAGGCGAATGATTCTTTATTGGTTTTTCAAATTTAAAATTACAAATAAACTTATAAAACTATATTCAATTGTATTTTTTATATTGTATACACGTCCAAGGTTCAGATATGCAATCTATTGACACAAACTTTATAGACTTTCTGCGTAATTAACATATTAGGGAACATGAAAATATTGAATGGTTCTCGGAAAGTTCTAAAAAACAAGGCAAAATAAAAATTAATAACCTATAAGTTAGGTAGGGTTGGCAACTCTATTTTAAGGATTTAGTAGTTTTTGACGGACACAGATTTTATATATCTATGACTCATAAAATAATAATGGATTTCATTGCGAATTCACTGTACTGTTAGAGTAACACTTAATTTTATTATATATGTTTTAAATACATATAATATACAGAATTTTTAATAATTTAAGATAATATGTTTGATATTTTACAATAACAATATTTAAAATTGTTGAAGTAATAAATTCAATATAGATTCACTTTAGAATATTTGTTAATCTTAGGCTGTATTTAATTGTTGTCCTTTGCGTTCGTATTTACAGCACTAATTCGTAAGGCATCCGCAAAAAGATTTCCCGACGTACCTAGCAGCGATGACGCGCTGTGAAAATTCCCCCAACAACACAAAGTTCCTCCTTATCTTACTCTCGTCAACTTCGACGTTTCTGTTTGCCAGCATCCCGAAGATGACAATTTAACTAGGACCGATGTTATGTCAGAGAGAGTTCCGTTCAGTGTTTATTGCAACCCCCTATCGATCTGTTTACGCGGTTTGTTTTGACACATTATGTTAAGGCCGTTAACTTCACTACGTCCATTTCTTCTTTCTTGTGTTCGAATTTAGAAACGTTAATTCGAAATCTAGAATCACGTGTGAGCATCGATCCGGCGGCGAAATCGGTGCGTCCCGAAAATACCCGGGCGGCGGACGCTTAAGTAAGCGACATTAGCTCACAACATCTGTTAATATGATCATTGTTAATTACATATGGGTTGTTGTTAATATATTGTAGCCACCTGTCCCGAGGAGGGCGCTTGGAGGTACGTCGCTACGTCGTCCACCATGCAGGCTCGCGGGAGGTCGGGGAGGAACATAATACGCTAGAGGGCGCGCATGTCGCGTGCGGCCGGCGCGGCGCCCCGCGTCACACTGGCGAGCGACCGGGCTGTCGTCCGCCCCCGTGTCCCCCGGCCCCGCGACGGTGATGTCAGATGAACGATTCGAAAATGCGGTAAAGGTACCTAAAATACGCAGATTTTCAACAAAAAAGATGGTGTGCTTTTATAAAATCACGATGCAAGATCAATTTTAAAAATCAAAATCATTAATAAAAAGTCCTTCCTCGGCTAGGAACCAAACCAGGGCCGCGCAGCGGGTGATCTTACACTGAAAATCACCAATGTTTGTTGATACGTTCTCATTTTTTTAATAACAATAAATAATGTAATGCGATATATTTCTTGAGTGCTGCTGTAATAAAAGTATCACTTTAAAAAAAGCAGGATTGTAAATTGTTTATTCATACAAGAACTGAGAATTTTACAAAAAAATATTGATGAATACTAATTAATATATTATATTAAAATCCCTAATGTTTTGTAAATATTTCTGAACAACGTAAACGTGCTTTTCAAAAAATCGTGAAAGCAGACTGTAAAAGCGAAACCGCGTAAATTAAAAGCGGAAGGCTCTGCATGGTCAGAGAGACGGGAGAAAACGCGGCAAAGGAGTACATCTGGCAACACTGCCCGCGCGCGCGCGGCTCCCCACCTCCCCACTTCCCACCCGCGCCGCACCGCCTCGCCCCGCCCATACCCCAAGGGCTGTGCGGAGCTTTTCCGAGTTTTCCGCTCGTTTCTCGTGCGTCGTCGTTTTGCGATTGCAATCATCTGGAGTAATGTCTGTGGCTGTATTTTTGCATGGTAGTTATCTAGATATATTCGAATTGACTGTTTATAGTAAAAAAATAAGATAAATTTTCAATAAGTATAGATATTGTCTATCCTTCATGACTTAATAGCTTTTTAACTTAGACATCTCTTGCGATACTGGTAAAATTAACATGGATACAAATTAGTTATACAATTAAAGCTTTTTTCGAGAATCAAATAGTGTTCAGTAAAATCCATTTAAAACATTTTTTTGGGAGATATTATTTATATAAATTCATCTTATTATTGACATACATTGTAATCACATCACAATGAAATAATATTAAACGAAATAAACGGAAGAGAGAAAACAATTTAAAAAAGTATCCTAATAATACTAAATACCCTATAGTTGTGTAACGTTTATCGAAATTAATACAAAACTGTACGTAAATGAAAAAATAAATGAAAAAAACCTTTTTCATTATGAAAAATTCTGCTGAAAAGTTTTCCCTGTCGCCAGCCCTATACCACTACGCCGTAATGCATTCGGCACTCGCTGCGCCTCGGCGCCGCTCGGGCTCGATCGGTACGCGCTCGTCTTTCCTCGGAAAGCTCTTTCAAATTCGGAACACAGTCATGACATATCTCTTTTGCATTAAAACACACTTTTCGACTGTATCCCCTCACCATAAAGTCAAATATCGAACGAAGAAACGAAAGTTCAAGTGTTGTATTTGACTTTTGAAATATCCTAATTTAGACGGCTTTTAGCTGAGCGTGACAGCTTCTGTTGCATTAGGAATTGAGTTGGTTTTCGTTTGAGAGATTTTTTCAGCTGACGCGTCTATTAAAGTTGTGCGTGCGTGTGGGAGAGGGCGTTAAAAACACATCTTGGGCGGATCGGAGGACCGATTTTAGGCAGATTTTTTCTGTGATTATTGTAATTTCTGTAGACGAACTATAGAAACCTCTTACATAAACTTTGTTTGCGTCACACTACAGAACTATTAACCTTATTCTTGTTACATTATTTCACTTCGGCGCTAATTTTATACAACTCAATGGCTATAATCAACAGATGACCAAAATTAGAAATGAAATGAAATGTCATTTATTCAGTCTAGGCTGTTACAAGCACTTGTGAAGGTCAAGAAGCTACGCCATCGGTTCGCAAAACTGCGGCGGGAGACCTTGTACTGAGAAAAACCGGCAAGAAACTCAGCAAGAGCTGTTTTTGGAGTTTACTCCTTAAGAATCGATTTGCATATACAAGGGGCCTAGTATGAGAAAAATATGAGGAGTAAAATCTATCGATGAATGACCTCGTTACGTTTTTGGTGCGCATCCTATGTCGCGCAACTTTGACAAACAAAGATGACGGATTGACATTAATAAAAAATTTAAAATCTGAACTGAATTTAGATATTGTTTCTGATAGAGCAATAGGGACAACGAGGTATGGTACAACCACTGATGCGGTATTTTCAAGATTCGTGAACCACGTATCTACGAACGTCCATGTGTCTTATTTTAGTTACCATAAACCACTTGTCACTGTAATTAATAATGCAGACAATGTTGATTTAATTAATATTTAAAAAAATGATAATAGTCTGATAATAATAATTACATAATTTATCAACATTCCTAATGATATATTTATGCACATCTGAAATTGACTATTGTAAAAAGTTTAATGTAAAATATTTCGTCGATTAGTTATAATAAATGTATATGAAATGAATAAATATGCTGTCATTTCTACCAAAGGACATGCGACCAAATATTGATACGTACCGGAAAGTTGTATATGTGATGGAAGTTGACCTCAACACATGTTTACAAGTTTGATGTCAATTTTCAATTGGACGACACTGTATGAAATAAAACAGGGAGAGAAAATCAGCCCTTGCTGAGTTTCTTGCCGGTTCTTCTCAGTACAAGGTCTCCCGCCGTAGATTTGCGAACCGATGGCGTAGCTTTTCGACATTCACAAGTGCTTGTAACAGCCTAGACTGAATAAACGATATTGAATTAGAATATAAATGTGTTAGGAATTTTGTGTAATGAAGATAATTTCAATAATAACAATGTTTTTTTCTATTTCTGACTGACAAACCGAGTGTCTTTAATTAGCTAGCCAGCTACAAATACGTTATAAAAGTTTGTGTTATGTTCCCATAATGAGCAGTGTCTAAACTACTAACGTACACAACTATTTTTTGTCCCACATTGTAAGAATACAACGTCGTGTATGATTTAATAACAATTAAACTGGATTAAATACCAATTTTAGCTAATGTTAGCACCATAAGTAAGTTTTTGACGTGACAACGTCTTAAATTAGGTTGCGGCTGGGAGTCACTTATGAAAAAGTGTAACGCTCGGTAACGTTACGATGAGTCTCTCGTGTTAAGTTTAAGTTTACATGTACAATGTTTTAGTAAACAAAATATATTTCTATAGTTAAAATTTGTGCAATTCTTATTTTCATTCAATTCCTTGTTCCTATTGTGCAATTTAATTATATTCATATCAATAAATATTCTACCGAGAAAAAGACGTTGTCACGTAAAATCTTCGCCCGTAAAACCGACTTTACAGGCAACCATTTTTTGTGGTTAATTAGGGGGTGTCTTTAATTATGTGTCCACCACTGTTTATCTAATACCTAAACTTCTCGTGTCACCTAGGGATGATCGATATTCATCGATGTTGTATAAACATCGATGTTTTACTGGAAAACATCGATGTTTTAATATCGATGGGTTGACTTCGATATCATCGAAACATCGATGTTACTAGAATAAAAGTATCGAAACGTCAATTATTCTTTGGGACGCCGTCTAGCGTGCATTAGGTGCACTAGCTTCAATTAAGTGGTCAGCTTCTGTACCAGAAACGGAACAAACTAAAAGGAAAAGATTTATCAAATTTAATTTTTTTACAGATTGTCCCTAAAAAATACTGGGAATGTTAATTTTTCTTATTATTTTTGTGATTTCTACGTATCCCAGGAAGAGTGGGCTTTTAAATTTAATGCCAGTTTCTAATAATAAAAACATTTTGTAAATATAATTAGACAGTTTTATTTGTTTCCAAAAACATCGATGTTTTAGACATATCGATGTTTTTCTATCGATATTTATCGTACATCGATACTTTTGATTCGATGTTAATATCGATGTCAACATCGATGTTTTTCTAATATCGATCATCCCTAGTGTCACCGTTTGCTTATTTGAACTCTACCGAAACGGCTCGACCGATTTTCGTGAAATTTTATACGCATATTCAGTTGTTCTGAGAATCGGACAACATCTCTTTTTCATCCCCCAAATATAACTTTTAAGGGTGGTCCAACATTAAATTTCTTTTTGGACAATATTTTTTGCTTTTATTTTTGTATATGATGCATCATATACAAAAATACATACAACCCTAAATGTTCACCCTTCTACCACTGTTATTTTTATGGCGATATGAAGGTCGCTGGCTCATCTAGTATATATATATATATATATATATATACTAGCTGACTCGGCGAACTTCGTACCGCCCAAAAGTAATAATTTGCAATAAATTAAAATTGCGACTATAATTTGAGATTTAAACTATCCTATCTCTCAAGTTGGATCGAACTGCACATGGTGTGCGAATTTTATTATAATCGGTTTAGTGGTTTAGGAATCCATTGAGGACAAACATTGTGACACGAGATTTATATATATTAAGAAGATATATATAACGAAACTTCTTCTCTTAAATAACCTAACATTAGGCGGTGCATAAGGCTATATATATATATATATATATATATTAGTGATGCGTGCCTTGCTCTCTATTCTCCAACGCCTTATTCTAATTTTAGGTTATGGTTATTAAAGAGAAAAAGTTTCGCTTCGTGTGTGTGGTCCGTTTTTTAAGTTCAAGCTCTGATGATAATGATGATGACTCCAGAATAGCTCGACTCCACCTGTCACCTGTTCAGCGAGCCACGTGATGTCACCCAATATACATAACAAGAGCGATATAGCGTATAAAGATATAGTGAGAAGATGCAAGAGTCCGCTAAATACGACGACCTCCGTGGTCGAGTGGTATGTACGCCGGGTTTCAAAGTGCTACTCGAGAGGTCCCGGGTTCGAATCCCGGTGGGGGCAGGTGTTTGTACTCCAGTCATGGATGTTAAATATGTATTTCTATATAAATCTACTTACATATGTGTCAGTATATGTATTGTATCCGTCACCCTAGTATCCTATAACACAAGCCTAAAGTGCTTACTTTGGGGCTAGGTTAATTTTTGCAAGTGTTGGAAATATTTCTTTCTTTCTTATAATGTAAAACTAACTTAATTGCAAAAAAAAATAGCAATA